GGGGTAGTGCTGGGGGGCGACCGGGTCTGTGAGAGATGAGACCTGCAGGTGAGTGGGGTGAGGGGCAGAAACAGAACATCTGCGTTCATTATCCTAAAACGAATTGAATGCCAATAAAAGGTGTTCAAGTGAGAAGAGCTGAGAATGAAGATTGACAGTCAAAAAAACAGCCACGTTTGATCCAACCTCAGTGTCAGCCCCTCCTTTGCGACATGGCTCACTCCGTTCCAGAGCTCAGCAGGGAGCTGAGACCCTTGCCGATTTAATGTGCTGGTCCTGCCAGCGTTTGTTGATCAACCCTCATACAGTGCTGACTACATTGTTTTAAGTGGCTTACAAATGTGAGCGCATTTCATCTTCATACCAACCCTGTGAGGTACCTATTATTATTCCCCTCTTACAGATGAGGGAACTGAGGCACAGAGATCTTAAACATCTTGGTCGAGGTTACACGGCTAGGCTTTGAACCCACAGAGTTCACTGCAGTGCCATGCTGGTTACTGACCAAAGGACACTTCATGTAGATGTGTGCTGAGACCTGAAAGTCAGTTAATGGGAATTTCACATTCCTTTCTAAATAAATTAATGAGAAAGGGCCTGATGTAGTGGCTGATACCCATGCTCAGGCACTTTCTGCTATGTGACCTGGGATTAGTGACTGAATCTCTAAGAGCTTGGAATTCCTCATCTACAAAGCAGGACAATGAGAACACGCTGAGTGGGTAGAAGCAGTAATTCAGTTCAGGCCACTGGCAGAGTGACTAGTGCCCTGTAACCCTGATCATGACTGTTACTGTTAATGGCCATCTACCCAGTGTGTAGTAACCTTGACAAAACCTTTCAGAGGACTGACGAGAAACCCAACCAAAAAGAAACAACAATAAACACATGCAACATACTCATTCTGTGTCTGTCCAAAACCAGTGCTGTGTCTGCACTGCCAGCAGAAAGCTGAATGCCCAAATGTCCACTGCAGTTCTGTCCCCTGAAAGGCGCATCTCCTAACCCTGGGCAGAGCCCTACGAAGAATGCCCTGCTGCCTTAGCTCCAGCACCTCTGGGGTCTCTTCAGGCTCCACTTCCTGCTCATATCATCCCGACACCTATCAGGGCATTCCTGCACCATGCCCTTTAATGCCTCACTAGGACACCCTTTTGCTCCTCGACTCCTCCCTTACTCAAGGACAGTTCATTCCAGGCTCCACCCCAAGCAGGAAGGGCATCTGATCGCTTTCCACGTGTTCCATCTCAATTCTATAATCTAAGAGAATTATTTGCTTAAGTGTGTGATATGGGGGTTAGCTTTTGGAAGGCCATCAGTACCACCTGAAGGGATTCATTTTTACCGTTCAAGATGGAAATAATAATGCTTCTAAATATCTAGTTTGTAAGTGAGTGTGTCCACTCCTGTCCCTCCCTCCCCTCCTCCTCCTGGGTCTAGGTCGAATATTCTGTATTTAATCTGTTCACCTGCCATCAGTATGATCAAGGAGATGCCAATCTTCCTCCAGCTCTCTGCAAACTAACTGTGCCTCTATCCACTTGCTTTTCCTATCTTAAAGAAATATTTTCCATAGAAACAACATATAAAGCTGCTCTGAACTCTACAGAGAAAGGATTTTACATCAATATGCATTCAAAATTATGTGTCCATCCAGTAGCAAGTGTAGACAAATGGCTTTGTAGGTAAATCTACAGTTTTGTTTAAAGAAAAATAAAAGTCAGGACTATAAAAGTTCTAATCTCGAGCCTCTTCTGGAGCACACACAGCTTAACGAGGGGTCCTCGAAATGTAGAAAGATTCATATTATCTTTTAGTTTTGTTTTTCCACAAACTTTTTGAAGTACCCTCGTATATAAAATCCCAGGCCTGCTGTACAGCTGGAAGCTGACGCTACACTGTGGGAATAAAATTTTGTTTTGTTTTGTTTTGGCTGTTTTTTTGTTGGGTAACCATTATATTTGCTCTTCTAAATAGACCCTAAGATTTGGTGCAGCTACTCTGGTGAGGAACTGGCAGCTGGTACCGGAAGGGAACACACCAATTATGGCAATCAGCACAAGGAAAAGAAAAGACATACATTATGTGCTTTCTGTGTTAGGAAACACCTGGGTGGCTTTAGAGACGATGAATCCTCTATTTGAGCTTTGGAAGCGGCGTTTACTTAATTTTTGAGACCTTTACTTGAGAGGTCGGGTGGTGGGGGAGGAGAGAGTAATTCATCTTCAGTTTTCTGTTATTTCACCCTCATAAGTTCTGTCCCTCCCCTCATCGATCCCCTCCCCAACCCCCGTTGCATTGGGAAAGAGACGAGAAGGTCCCTATTGGCATTAGTTTGTTTTGGTGACTAGATGTTCTTTTTCCTTGGCCTTGACGAGGTAGAAGTAGTAGCTGTAAGAGTTGACGACAACAGAGTCCCCTGCCTGGATCTGTCCTCCATCTGTCTGTGACCTGACAAGCCTGCCTCATTTCTATCACCTGGACAGGGACATTTTACAAGGTCAGGCCCTTGGAGTCAGCCATGCCTTGGATCAAATCTCACCTTCACCGCTTGTCTGGTGAGTGACCTTGAACATGCTACTTACCTTCTAAGCCTGTGTCTCTTTATTGGTAAATGAGACCAGTGACAGCTACTGCCTCATAAGGCATCAACTTAAATCAAGCACTCCTTGTGTTCAGTTGCTTATTCTTTTTGTTTTGATTGGTACACCGTGGCCACCAGCGATTTTGATCAAAAGTAATGCAAATGCCATAGAAAGCTATCAAATACTGAACAAAAAAAGCAGTATCAGTACTATTTTTATTGTTATTATTTTAACTCTTGCATTAGATCCATTTTAGAGGTGACAAAAGACATCATGAGAAAAGAAATCACAGAGATTCCTCCTTTTACTTGTGTGAAACTTTGAGATACCTCACATAGTTAAGAAATACACACTGTGAAATATTAGTAAAAGCTGAAATGAGGACTTCACACACACACACACACACACACACACACACACACACACACGGCCTGGAAAACAGGATTGTGAAGAGCAAGAATTAATTCTGCTATTCCACCTGCCTCACAGAAGAAAGAAGGGGGAAAAGGAAACCTCCAAATGAAATCACATTCCCTTCAGATGTGGAAGTTGGAGTGAATAAGCGATCGACTTTTCCATTTGGTGCTTTAATCCCCGTCCATCAGGTTTCCTGCTGTTTCTTGGCTAGAAATGTCATTATCTATCACTCTTCTGGAATGAGCAGGACTAGGTACATCTCTGTGAATCTCCCTCTCTCGCCCTGATAAGCATGTCAGAGCTGGGAGACTGTTGACAAGATTCACATTTTCAACTGATAAAGTGCCATTTACACTATGAATGCCAAAGAGTGGTGGGTGTGGCTTTCAAACATTGCTCTCCAAGGAGGAAAAGAAACCAGGGCTCCCCAACTCAGAGAGAATGCTGGTGTCCAAAGAAAGAAACAAAGGTAAGGAAGGGAAGGAGGGAGGGTGGATCTAGGGAAGGAAGGCAGGCCAGGGGCTGGGGTGGGGGGGCTTCGGTTAACAGTCATGTCCGTTCTTACTGGTGAAGTCTTGGGATCATAGCTTTGTGGATTAAAGATTAAGAGCAAACTAGATACGTATCTGTTGAGGATTTAAGAACATTTCTCTAGCCCACCTGGATATTTTCTTAACATGCAATATTTTTATTTTCCTTTAATATTTAAGCGACTTTTCACATAAAAGTCCTGATTTTTTTGTTTTTCATGTATGTTTTTTCTTCTCACATTTTAAGGGTCAAATGCCCGCCATCAATTTAATCAATCCTCTTTGCCTCCAACCTACCCCCAGCCTAATGCAGTCAGCCAGCGAGCCCACTGGTCAGGGCCCATGGTTTAGCCAGCTTCCACGGCACTGGATCCCACCTTCAGGGATCACAGCACAATCAGCAGCCAGCACCAAGGAGGCCCCACATTTGCTTCTGAAACAGACTCGGCACTCAGGAGGAGAAGGCTCCTGCGTGGCTATGCTTCTCCCGTGCAGATGGAGGCAGCTGCGTGGGGAGTGACAAGCGGCCAGGGCTTACCAGAACTCCTGACACCTGCTTTCCTCAGCAGGAGAGGGGGTGCTGGCGTGTTCCCGTCCTGCTGACAGCTTGCCAGCTTGGCCACCATCAGGGGACTGCATGTCCAGATAGTCCAAACCTTCCCCCAGGTTCCTTTGTCCTCACCCCAGGGGTTTACACAGGGGACCAGCATCACAGGAAATATACGAAATAATATACAAAAGGGATAAGAAGAGAGAATCAGCTCACTGTGGCCAGAAACCTTACTTCCTTTTCTTCTGGTCACTATGGGCCCCAGTATCCCCAGAAACTCCAGAACTCACACAGACTGAAGATAATAGAAGACACAGCAGTTGAGATTACAGAATCAGGATCCAGAATTCACAGATTCCAGGCCTTGGTTTCAATACATATTAGCTGTGTCACAACCTCTCAGTGCCTCAGTTTCCTCCTTTGTAAAATGGGGATAATAACAGTGCCTGCTTCACAGGGTCATTCTGAGGACAATAAGTTAACCTCGGTGAAACACTCAGAACAGTGTCTGGCATAAGAAGTGTCATTATTATTATGATTATTATTTGCAAATGAATAAATGTAGGTATTATCAGTATTTTTCTACCAATTTGACTGAGACTTTGAGAGATTCAAACTGACATATATCTGACTCCAGAGAGGAAGTCCTTAACCACGAAGCAAGACACACCTCTTTTGATCAAGGTCAGCCAACCAGCTGGCACCAGGAAGACATCCTTCCCAGCCCTGACACACAGCAAGGCTCAGAATTCCTCAGGTCCTACTTCCTGAGTCCCTACTACAAATCAGGCATAGTTATGCAAAAGAGGAAGGAGACAAAGCAGGTGCTTATTGTGTCCACAGGAGGCGATACATACAAATGTGCGAAGAGAAACAACAGAAGCTGGTAAAGGAAGCCAAAAGAGAACAGCCACTCACCAGCCCCTGAGAGCTCCGCCTCTGCCACCAGGGGTCCTGCCACACTGGCCCTGCAGGTGTCTCAGCTGCTTCTGGCCTGGACACCTGCTCATGAGCAGTTCTGCATCCACTCCTTTACCTAGCACCTCCTCTACAGCCTGTAAGTCTCAGCTGAAATGGCACGTCCTCATGGAGCTTCTAGATCCCCCGTCTAGACTTTGTCCCCCATAGGCCCTCTCATAGCACACACTCCTTTAAAGCACAGACCTCAATAGCAAGCGATTATTTGTGTAATTACGTGTTTACGCCCATCTCCCCACTTGATAATAAGATCCATGAGGACAGGGGCAGTTTTTCTCTTGCTCCGACAGGGAGCACAGCGCCAGGTATACAAAATAAATCACTACTGAATGCATCTCCTCCAGGGATAGAACTGCCTACTGCCTTTCCTCCCTTCTTTGCTACAAACCTATTTCAGGAATATTCAGAGCAAGAAAATCCTTGCAGGGGTGGGCTGGCTCACAACAGCTGTGAGGGCCAACTGTAGAATGTTCTGTTGCTCCAAGAGGACAGGGGCTAGAAACACAGGCCCTCAGAGCCCTTCCAGCTGCAGATGCAAGGTCTGCATATCTCTCAAAGCTCCCTACTTGGACAGAGGCTGTCAGCTGCTTGCCCTGGCTGGGTGATTATCAGCCAGCCAGCTGGCCTTGGAACAGTGCACAGTACTCCAGGAGCAGGGAGCCCACGCCCCCTAACCCACCCTCCTTCCCTCCCCACTCTCCTGCCAGTATTTTCTCTCTAAACCCTAAAGTCACCCAACAGTGTTAAACGCTGCCAGTGGCCTCAGTAAGGTAAGTGCCAGTGAGCAAATTTCCAATTGCCTTTTGGGATAGCCCAGCTCAGAAGTTGGAAAGGTCAGTGAGAAAGCGAGGAGGGAGATCTGCATCTCCCAGAATCACCTGGTGAGAAGGCTGCAGATCCGTGTGCATCAGAACTGCCAGAGCGCCTCCAGGAGAGACTCTCAGAAACGGGCAGTGTTGCCTAGAAGGCGCGGGTCCTCCATCAGGTAGAAGGTATGTCCAAGAGACAAGAGCTTTAGTGGCTAAAGAGCACCCTGGCTGAACACTGATGAGACATCCCATAAGGGACGCCACCACTGCCACAAGTAAGACCTGGCCCCAGGCGAGTGTGAGGGGAGCAATTGGGCCCCCGCAGTACTGACAGCTCCCAGGCCACCAGCCGCCAGCCAGGGCACCTCCCACTGACACAGCTGCAAGTGTTTTGACTTCAAAACTGAGTGTGAGTGACACCTGATTCTCGCTCGCTGCAAGTGTCTCCTCCTGTCTCCTCTTCTTCATAATCTCCATCCTTGCCCCAACCCAGCCTTCTTCCCAGGACTCTGGTGTGGACAGAAGAATGGCTCACCTGCTCAGGTGAACCAGCTGCAATAGCAGTGACAGGGACATGGAACGTCCCCTCGCCTGCCTTTATTGTTGAAAATGCCCTGTGTGCCTATGAGCCCCACGGTCTCTGCACCCACGCATCTGGCAACATCTTCCTCCAGGGCCCACTGGGAGTGATCTTGCTGTTTTCAGGCATACTTTACGATCTGACTTTTCTTCTTTCTGTTGGATATGTCTGAATTGTTCTTTCGTTTCTTGTCAGTAGTAGCTTTAAAGGCACGAGGCTACATCACCCTCCAGTTATAATTTCTTTCCATTACATTTCCTATAACCTGGTCATATCTGAAAACCTGAATTTCCTTCCTTCTGAGCTCAAAATTAAAAACAAAATAAAAACAAAAATTCTGAGCAGCAGTGCAGAGTCCTCTGTCATGGGTAAGTCAGCCTGGAATCTTCTACAGGACAGGACTGGCTCTCCAGGCACTTTTGGGTGCAGATAGGTGCTGCAGGAAAGTACGCATGGCTATTGTGTGTCTCAGCACCTGCTCAAAAGAGAAACAGCTCTTTCCTTCTGGAGTCTATTGTTAGATTCATTTTCTTTCTTGTTGCTGTTGCTGTTTGGTTTGCTTTGTCTGTCTGGAGGACGGCAGGATGCTTATGCTGAGACCAACATGACTTCCGCTGGGATTTCTCAGCTCCTGGGTCCCTGAGCCATTGGGTTGTCATCCGGTCCCAACCTTCCACAGACGTCAGCCACATTCACACCACTTTCTCGCACAAAACTTCAGAGGGAGTCTGGAATCAGGACAAGACATGCAGAACTCTTTGTGCACTGAGGGATGAGAAAAGTCTGTTCTTTTTCTGTTTCCAGAGGTGAACAAGCAAAGCTTCGAGGGCCCTCAGGCCTGCCTATTCATCCCCAGAAAGCAATGCTGGCTTTCTATTCTTGGTGCTAAAGACTGGCTTAACAATTTCCCACGCAGGGGCTGGGAACATGTCTACGGTGTAGACCCAGAGATCTTCACAAAGCACAAAAGACAGTCTGCTCTTCACCCTTCACGGGAGGCTATTTTGCTCTGCTGTGGAGCTGGAGGGAGGGAGGCATGTCTGTGGTGGGTGCTATTGTTCAGCAATGTACGCCTTCAGGCTTGGCAGGGAGAGGACTCCCGTGTACTGGTCAGGCGGCAGTGGGATTCGAGGCTCTCAAGTACACCCTTAGATCCTGGACTCATCCAAAAGGCAGGTAATGAAGGACTTCCTCCTAAAAGTTTGAATGTGGCTGAGCAGGGCAGGCGTGCAAGCATCAAGCGAAGTGCACACACAGCGGGAGAAGGTTCACGTGAACTCACTAGGAATGCAGGGCAAAGTCAGCACAGGAAGTAAGGACTGTGAAGGTATAAAGGAAACCCAGCTCTACACCCAAGACATCACCACTGGCCCACCCAAACTATGACCTCAGTGGGAGGTCTCATAAGGGTCAAAGATGCAGTACAGTCCTCAAGCAGTTGGGGCTTCATTGGGAGAGCCCCTCAGAGTTCTCTTCTCTGCCTCAGAGTAGTTATGGGGAAAGACGGTGGGGTCCAGGGTGACAGAGGCTTGCAGAGGAGCATGCATGTTGTCCTGCTCAGCCACCACGGTCCAGAATCGAGCTGCGGCTGGGCAACCAGTGTCTTCTCAGGAACATCAGTAATGACTGGGCCCTGGCAGACTCCCTGTTTGCAGACTAAGAAGCCTAGTTTTGGAAATCTGGAATTCACTTCAACATGAACAATGTGGTTGAGACCAAGCCTCTGAAGGAAGACAGCCTCCGTGTGGAAGCGCTGCTGACCAAAGGCTCAGAGATAGATGTTCACAAGGGATATGACATCAGGATTCAGCATCACGCCAGCCTGGAGACCTTGCTTGAAATTTAACCTCAATGTTACAGGACAATTTAGGGAATAGGATAAGGTTCTCTTCCTGAACATTCAGTGTCAGAACCCTGCTCATTCTTGTACAATGACCGACGTCCATGTCAGATCCCAGCCCATGAGAGTACAGAAGACTGGACACAGGCAAAAGAGGTCAGAGCAAAAACTGGGGGACCAGGCAAACCTACGTTCCAGTTCCAGATCTGTTACTTATTCACCATATGACCATGCACAGGAAGCGGTCCGAGCCAAGTGTCCATAGGTAAGAATAAGATAATGTTATGAACCTCCTCGGGTTATTATAAGGACTAACCTGGGCAGATCTTAGTGTAATTTCTGACACTCAATACTCAACATGAGGGAATAAATGGCAATTGATAGATATATGAGAGATGCATAGACAGAGAGGGAGCACTCGGCTGCCCTCTCTGCTTCATACCACAAGGGCCCCTCGCCTTTCTCTAAAAAGTGCCTTATATTCATCCACACGCTGAACAGGAAGACGGAGAACTCAGGGGACGGCCGTCTGGGAATGATCTATTGTCCGCATTCTGCGTGTTCCAGGAAACCTGTTGTCCCCAGGAGAACAGGTGAAAGCCTGATGCTGTTAGAAAAGTGGGGGAAGCTTTCTGCCTAATTTTTTTTATTAATGGTATTAAAATTTCTTTGCATAAGTCATTAATCATTAGGTCATATGAAAGGCTTATGTTTATTCAGAGAGTATAATAACTCACAGCAGTAAGGATGCGTGAGTTCTCAACTGGCCAGTAGAAGTGCTGTGTTGTTAGGCAAAGGAATTGATTTTTTTTCTTTTTCCTTTTCTTTACCTTATTTATTTATTTTTATTTAGAACAGTTAGTTCAATTTAACAAACATTTATTGAAAACCTTCAACAAAAATAAACACAATATGGTCTCTCCAGTGGAAGGCTCAGAATGATAGCAAAAATAACCAAATGTCAAGAACTGTCAACATCTATTTCTTGGGCACTTACTAGGTGCCAGTCTCTGCGCTAAGCACTTCATTCACATTATTTTATTTACCTTCTTTAATCTTCAAAACCATCCTGTGAAGTAGCACCATCATCATCTCCATTTTGGAAACATTGAAGCTTGCACATGTGGAGTAACTTACCCAAAATCATACAGTTAGGATGGTTAGAGTCTAGTGTGCAAGAGACAGCTGCACTGATAGAATTCCATTTTAGATTCTTAACTTTACATAAGCAACTATATTTCTATGCATAACCTGTACAGAACCTGGACAGCAGTTATTTGCTCATTTTTTTATTTTTCCATCCACAACACTGCCATGGGATAGACGTTCAAAAAACAGCTCAGAAAAAATGGTCACCAGTTCCAGGGTCTCTAAGAAAGTTAACTGATGAGCCAGGGACACTGAGATGTAGGGGTGCCATGTGCCACAGGAGAGGAGAACAGCCCAGAAAGGAAAAGCTCAACCCTACTACTATTGATCGATGTTGAGAATGTGCTTCAAGGAAACCCCTGTTCTTGATCTAGCTGCACTCAAATCCGAGAGTTAAGCACATCCCATTTCTTTCTTGTTGAATTATACTTAAGGAAAGGGTGGATGATTCATGGAATAGAATATTAAATGGCCATTGATATCATGTGTCTAAAAAATAAATAACAGGAAACCAAAATAGTATGTTTGTAAAAGAAGCTGAACATAAGGGGATACACCAAAGTAATCACTTCAGATATATCTATGTGTAGAATTATAAATGGGAAAAAAAGAAATGTTATTGATTTTGAAGAGCACAGTCTAATTACCAGTGCATTCGTAAGGGCAAGCTCCATTACTCCCGCCCCACCCCGCCCCCCATTCTCTCTGTGACTTCTTCCCTCTCCATTTCTCTCTGTCCAGCATCACCTTTTATTCCACCTCCTTCAGACTGCAACTGCCTTGCAGACC